ACAAAAGTGCGGCCCCAAACATTTTCCAAGCATATATTCATAAGTCAAAGAACAAAGGGAAGTAGGGGCGCAATATTGTGTCTTAAACCATTCAATCATGCAAACCTACGATTTTTTCATGTATACGAGAAGCTTTAAAAATTAGACAATGTAAGTAGTCTGGGAATGGAGAAGGGGAAAATTTAACTCATAATAAACAAGCTTAAGGGTCACAAGAATGTTCAGATCGACTTGTCTTCACGTTCTGATCAAAAATGTATACTCGTATACTTCGTTCTGTTTGTTGCATTTGCACAAAACTTATCTTGTCCCTGTGAGTATAGGGTACAATATAGATGCAGGCCTAATTGCTTTAAGCAGATTTAAGAACTTAAGCAGCTATTAAGGGAATGCCTATTTATTACAAATAAGAATAAGAACAAGAAAGGTGAAGATTCGTTTGGAAAATTTACAAATTCACAAAAACTTCATTCAACTTATTTATGAATGAATATTTATGATAAATGGCCAGACTTTTACCGAACAAATAAATCCAGTTCATGAATTGCATTCATATTTAAAGCCCATCAATTCAAAGAATAATTTATTATTCCACTTTACGAGTATTTACCATTCATAAACTTCATCTCCTGCAACATGGCGTATACGTAATGTGTGTATGATAAACAACATTCAGTTGTCTGGCCAGCAATTTATAAATGCCAACCCCCAAACTTGTCGGTCTAAACACAATAACCAAAGCTAATGCAAGCCACATACATGACCCTGAACTAAATATCCAAACACTCAATTAAATTTTGTTTGCAATGTTAGCTGTTGCTGTTGTTGGTGTTGAATTTTGAATGAAAATTCACACGCACACACACACTCATACATATACACGTACATGAACAGTTGGACAGAAAGACAGATAGACTGCACATGTGGTCGTCTGTCCACACACGAACATAAGCCGGCATCTAATAGAGCAACAACAACAACAACAACAAGGCGAGCATAATGCAACCTAATCCAGTCAGTGCATCTACAGGTGGGTGGGAGCCATAGAGACCGGCACCACCAGCAGCAGCAACACCAGCACCAGCACCAGCAACTGCATCCAAATGATGTGAATAAGCGAGTGAGTGTGTGTGTTTGTTCGTAAATTGTTGGCATGGCAGCAGGCTGAGGCAGTGAGCCAGACCAGAGCAGCCTTTCCCAGGCAGACAGGCTGTTTAGTCAATGCAACAACATGTTGCAACAAATGGCAATGAATATGTAGGTATTTATGTTGCTGCATGCTCTGCTTGTACGTACATATGTTTGTGTGCGTATTGTGTGTGTGTGTTCGCATTGAAAATGAAAGTGCTATGCAATTTTCGATTTAGATTTCGTAATCGGTGCTAACATCGTTGTTCTTGTTGCTGCTGCCATTGTGGTCGGTTACATAATGAAATTACACACAATGCTGAACTTGCCTGCCACAACAGGTGGCGTCTCGAAAGAACGGAGCGAGAAGCCAACGCCAGTCAGTCAGACACAGGAGCACGACTTAATGTGTGTGCGCCCGCCTCCGACGTCGATGGCACAAAATGTGGCCAAAATTGTGTTCCAGCGTGCCACAAAATGTGGATAGAAAAAGCTAGAATTTGGAGGAATATACGGTATTGGTATCTAAAATGTACTTCTTAGTAAATTTAAAGGCCTTCAAAACTTTTTGAGAATTTAATTGAATGGACTTGGCCAAATATTTCATCTACTTAAAAAAAAAAAAGAAACTACTGAGAAGACTAATAGTTTTCCAAATCTGTGGAAGATCCTAAAATTACATGTATTTTCAACTAGATAGTTCACTTTGATCGCCCGATCGACTGTCTGATGTTGCCTATTACCGATGTAGAAAGATCTACTGCTACTGATATTTGGAAAGATATTTAGAATTAGGTGATTGACAATCTTGTTTCTTAAAATGAACATAAATCAACTTAATATGTCTATTTATTCCATTAATAAAGGTTGAATAATCATTGAGTTTATAAGACAGTTTTTTTTAATAAATTCCATTAATCGCTAACGTAATCATAAGCCTAAATAAATTTTATATCTAAGCATATATATTTTAAGTTAAAATAACAAAGATCGTAAGTAATTATATATTCAAATAGTTTGGGCTCTATTACTTTTTCCTTTACTTTATCGCTTTATTAAATTTAGAAATATTTGTAGGTAAATACTAAGTATCGTGCTGTATTCACAGAAATTATGGTATTCCTGATTATGGTAAGCAAATCCTTTTCCATTTTGGCTTAAAACTGAAACCAAAATAGCCAAATATGCAACTCTGCTAAACACATGTGCAGCAATCCTTGCTCTCGACCACAAATTGTTGGGCTCTTTTGATGCCTCATAGCAGCAATTTAGTGTGTGCTTGTTGTTGTTGGCAATTGTGTGGTTAAGTAATGTCATTATCTGGCTTAAGTTGGCCCAAAAAAAGGTTGTGGAGCCTAACAAAACAATAAACTTGAACATGCACAGTTCTCGTACGTTAGCAGCTCTTCGAATTGCTAAACAGAAATAAATTAATAATAAAATAACAAATTGCGCACAATTTAATTGCCACAAATTAGATTCAATTTTGTTCAAGTGATTGTTGCTGTGGTTGTTAGTTTTGCTGTTTACTCGTCTAGCAAATTTAAACGAATATTTCTCATTTCAATTGGCGCAAAACCTGTTAATAGTTGGCACTTTTAAGTGAAAAATGTTCATGTTTTCTTTCGGTATCTAATATTTACTTAGATAGCGATAGAAAATTCAAATTCACAAGTATATTAATACATATATGTATACAATATACATGTTTTGGGTCGATTTGCGTCAAAAACTCAACGAAAAAGTAACTATTCAATGTTTTTTTGCGTTTGTTATGCCGTCCTTTTAACATAAAACATATCTTTAAAGATGACAGTTTAAGTAGCGGCGTAGGCATCCTTTCTGCCCTGTATAAAGTATTATGATGATAATTCGTTTATATTTAATTAGAGCCAGATGATCAATATGTCAATTGAAAGGTATGGAAACTAAGCTTCAGAATTTGGATTCGAATAGCTATCGCTTTTTGAATGTCTTGGACAGAATTGTCTTAGACAGAATTCTGCAAGACCGGTATCGGAGTTAATATTTTTGAATTTTCTATTTGATTTTGCGCCAACAAGTGGTTAAACCTCGAAAATGAAATTTGTGTATGTCTATATCATTACGAATGTCGTAAATGAAATTGTCAATTATAGATTCTTCCATCTGCCTATTAGCTTTATCGTAAGAATGCTAAACAGACATTGTTCATTAATGTCAGAAATGTTGTTTATATCTTTTAGATTGATTTCTAAATCTTTTAAATTCGATCCAACCTTTCGATATTTATTTTAAGCATTTAAAATAATATTTTGATGGCTGGAGGAAATGAGGATACCCGACAACAACGATAACAACAAAGAAGCCCAGAATTAAGACAAGAAGCAAAAAACAAACCAGTACAAATACACATACAAAAAAAAAAAAAAAAAACAAACACAAAACAGTTCATTGTCTTCACATTGGCCACTTCCTCGGATCTCTTGCTCTAGCACATGCCATGCCACAACAAAACAACATCACTACTATAATGCAATACAATGCAAAAGTTCTCAAGAAAATTCAGCAAAACAATTTGACAAAAAAGCGAAACGACAACAAATTCTGCCATCTTCGGCGATCCTCAGTGATGGACGTTGGCATTTTTAAATGAGTTGCGCGTTTTTTTGTGTCGTTGCCGCTGCCGCCGCTGCTATTGCAGTTGCAGCTGCGTTAAACTACATACAACAGCCCGTGCGTGTGTGTGTGTGTGTGTGTGTGCATCTATTAGTGTGTTAGTGTGAGCTGATGTGTTTGAGTGCCCTGCAACTTGAAACGCAATGCAAGAATTAAAAGCAAGTAAGCGCGAAACCCCAAGACAAAGTATGGGACTGGGACTGAGACTGGGACGGGCCTGCCGCAGACGGCAGGGATGACTATAACGACTATAACGACAATGATGACGATGTCGGCTACGGCGACGGCGACGACGACGAGGCAGCTGACAGAGTAAGCGAGCAAACGATAAACAGTCGGACGGACAGATGACGTACAAAAAGCGCGTTTTGATGCATTTGTGGCAAGCGGTGGCGGCGGCAAGCGACAACAGCAATGGCGATGGCACTGACCTTTCCTAATGCAGCTCAAGTTGCACGTTGTACACTGCACGTTGATGTGGCAGCAACAAAAGCGACCAGAAACAAAAAGAACAACAAGTGGCCATTGACAACATTTATTTGGGAACAACACAAACAAAACTATTCTATAGTTTGTAACAACAAGAAAGAACGAACGATATAAGCCTGAACATATACTTGTAGTATCATGCTAATTTTGGAGAATATCAATATTTTGTCTTTAATTTAAAATGTCTTCATTTATCAGTTGTAGTATTACTTATTTTTTGTCAATTGTACTTATGTGCACAAATATGAACCGGCAATATGGAGGCTTCGATGGAGACAAATCTTTTTAATTTTAAGAGGGCAGCTTTTTCATTGTCAGGCTGTGTCAAAATTTCGCTTTGTTTTATTTTTTGCTATGTGAGCATTTGATAAAACTTGTTCGATATTAATCAATTACTAAGTTTAAAGTTGGTTTGCAGACTATTTATTTATTTATTACATTTTGATGTCAACAAACAAAGACTGTCGACATAAGGAAACAATATAAAAGTTATAAATATAAGCTAGGAAAGAAATTTTAAATATAAAATTGAAAATAATATGTACAGAAAAAAAGGGGAAATATAGTAGAACCTTAGACCCGGTGGGGGAAGATTTATTACCGTCACAGCTCTTCCTGGTCAGAGATTCCGCAGTTAGCTCAAAAGAGAGGCTTTTAAGTGAAGAGACAGTTCGGCTAGGAACAGGTGTTAACTATATCTTTATTGATATCGAAAATAAGCAATATGAATCAAACTTCATTTTTTAATCTTGAATATTTTTAATTCGTAATATAATTTAAAATATTTTCTTGAGCTTCAATTTATTTTCTTAAAATATTGTAGTTTGTTAAGCATTTTCCGGCGAATCTTCTTTTGTTGTAACAGCTTCCGTTTCTGGAGCCAACGTACCATCCACTTCGAATAGTAAATCACCAAAGAGATGAGTAACCTCTACAAATTGCTGAAATTTTTCCATGTCATTATAGCGAATTCGGTTGCAGACTTGATACTTTCTGAGCGCAGAAACTAGTTCCTTATCGGTCATTTCGGTCTTGGTTTTTAAGATGGTCATGAGTGCCTTTAATTCTGTCACGCTTAGCATCAGAAATGAGTTGTCATTGAGCAGCTGGGGTGCTAACGGCAGGATTTTCTGTGATATTACAATTAAAATGGGGTTCATCTACAATACAAGAGAGAGAGAGAGAGAGAGAGAGAGAGAGATTACTTACTTCGGCCACCAGATCCATCAAGTCCTTGCTATTATATTCATTAGCTAACTGGAATATCTGTAAGACCACCTCTACAGGCCAATCTTGATTTGCCAGCTTTTCTATGTAGCACTCAACGAAGTCGTCCATTTCATATTTGTTGGCCAAGTACAGAATTTCCTTGCACATTTCCAGTGAAGTCGCACAACATATTTCGTAAGTGTATATGTACAGGAGGAGGGCCTCGTAAGCATCCGGCGAGGCATCGGAAACCAGCAGTATGCATCCATTTTTCTGGAAGTTCGGATCACTTATCATGCGCTGGAACTCTTCGGAGGCCGATACCAAAATGATCTTATGGCAGCGAAATATCCGACGGCATCGCGTCTTCCTCTCACAATCCATATAGGCCACTTGCACCTCACAGTCGGACATGTTTCCACTGCGCAAGAGGTCAAGTCTACGAACTTTGCAATTCATATTTCTAATATAATTGTGTATTTGGGGGAAAAACACAACACAATGCACATAAAAACAGAACAATTTTTTTGACACATAACAAAAATATATAGACAATTGGGGACTTAAAAGCTTAAGTATAAGCTAGTCGACTCTGACATACACTGTAGCTTCTCAACAGAAACTCTGGGGATGTTAAGGGGGGAAGCCCATGCCGTTGCTCATGAACTCTGTGGGTCTGACAAATCCGAGGATCGGTACCATTTGGCTAGGAAGGCTGTGGCCAGTACGTGGACTGCAATTGTAAGGACAGGTTCCTTTTAATTTTCATCGAGTACAGAATTTACCGCCTGGTATAAAAGATGAAGAGCGTTGTAACTGGAGAAATGAATCTAACAACTCTTCTACTCTGGTTGCCTAAGTCTTTGGAATTACAACAGTGGCGTCTTGGCTATTAAGACATAAACAAAGGCACGTTAAAACGTTTAATGTTCATACTTACATATATATTTTTATGCTATCTAGTCTTAGCAATGCAAGGGGTTCATTTAGACTCTCACAACCTCAAACAGCATCAACATTTTTTAATTTATTATTATTCTCTATGTTGAGCTTAGCTGCCTTTGATGAGCTATGCAATTTATAAATAGCGCCTAATTAAAACGCAAATTTACAAGCCCGATTCGGAATCGCCTAAACCGTTGTCAGTTTTAGCTGCGGCAGCAAAAAACCAACTTAACCATAAAGCTTACATGTTTAAATATGCAAAATAATTTGTACCCTAAGCAAAAGAGAGCATATCGAATTGTTAAACGGACTGGTAATGAATATGATAAATAAAGATAGAATTGACGATTCTTGCAATGCTTAGAATTGATTTATTTAAACCTGACATACGCGTAGAATAACGAGTTGGTTTGTGGAATATCACAACGATTAGGTGATGGCAGTGTGTCAGTGGAAGTAGAGGAACTACTAAGGACGTTCTGTATTTAGAATACCAATTTTCCATTTATGTTAATAGATTCGCCAAGAAACATATATCGGTGTATCTCAAATTTTAATAAACCATTTGTTCAACTCAAAAATTATTGATAATTACAAAAAGAGTTTAGGAAAGTTTTCAAAAAAGTTTATTTTTACAACTTGCAATATTTTTAAAGTGAATCTGCCATTTTGTTTTAATCTCACTGTGAAAAATATTGCAATTAAATGAAAAACAATTTATTCAAGGTTGCTGCACAAATAGACAAAACGCAAAAACGCAAAATCTAACCAGCCAAGCAGCCGTTGCAAATCTGTGTAGAAAACAAAAACAGAAAAATCTAAATAATAGAACCAGTTATTGTAACTGCAAATACTTGCATTATTGTATTGTTGCTATTGCTGTTGGTGTTGCTATTGTAGCTGCTATTTGTGCGGTCATTTGATTATTTTTATTCGGACAACTTCCAGTTTATAGTGAGGAGTAAATGCACCCCCGGGACCTGTTAGCCATACATGACGCTCTATACCCGCAAGTACGTAGTAATGTGTAAGCAAATGCATCGATTTGTGTGGACATTAAATTTATTACAGATTAAAGCCACTTGTCGTTGCACGCTGCACTTTGCTCAAATTAATTGGCAAGGGCATGAAAGTTAGCAGCTAGCTAAACAAAACAAAACATGCTAAAGGTTGTAACCTCAAATTAAATGATTTTTGAGAGAAAACAACCTGCAACGTGCATGGCTTTTTAAGCTGAGCAAAGCTTTAGTTACAGAAGCATAGTTTTGCAAGAAGATGCTCAAATATATTTGTATAGCTTCTGTGAGCGATGTAGGTGTGCCCATTGAACCAGTTTAAAAATGTTCATTAAAAGCTTACATTATTTTCCCGCTATTTAGGAGCTTTCTGTGATGCGATTAACTATTACACGCCTCTTTGATACCCAAACTTCTTTCCATTCTCGGCATAATTTCAATTCTTTATGAGCTTTGAGTACTTATAATAGTTTGCTGATATTTGGTTTCACATGACTTTGACATACCTCTCAAATTATCAATTCTTTTAACATAAAACTATGTATTACTTAATATTAACAGCTATGTTTCACACCTATTAACCACATTTAGAAACCCTAACTAAAAATAGCTAAATATTTCGTATTATAAAGATGTTCTAATGCTTACGGCCTTGCAGAAAAGTGTGATTACGTTTTTCTATCACCGAAGCAAACATTGTATATGAATCAATGCTGGGCTCTACAAATCCAAGGATTTCAATCTTTACTAACCCGTTTAACTGCCCTTTATTTAAAAGCACTAATATATATTTCCCTTAATAATATTTATTATTTATATTAATATTTCCCTCTTATAATAAAACTCAATATTCAATCAATTCTAACCGCTCGAATTTTTTCTTATATTTTTTCCCAAAATAAGTCGCTTAACTCATTCCAAATCAAAGTATCATAAAGCGGTTATACATATAGGAACAATTGCTCCATTATAGTTGATGGACTATGGGAAAGTAGACAGGTAATAGGTTCTGCTTGTTCTTCTTTTTCACAATCAAGAAATAAAGTATTCTGTCATCAGTTCATAATTGAATATTTTCACTACCGACGTAAAAAGTTGCAGCCCACATGTTGAGCAGAAGACTGCGGGCAGTTCTTTTGTTGCAACCTGCGCATAATTCGGGTTGGGCCGTGGCATAGGCCCATTAGGTCTCGCCACGATAAATTCACGTTTCCTGCAACATGTGCGCGCAACAGGAGCACCCACAGCAGCAATAGACACACACACACACACACACACACACACACACACACACACACACACACACACACAGATACAATCATTGGTGTTTTGGGTGTTCAAGTTAGCGGAAGTGGGCGCGCTGTTTCCTGTATGTGTGTGTGTGTTGCTGTGTATATGTGTGATGGAGCACTACCAAAAAGCTCAGTGAATTGTCCGCACACAGTAGCCAGCCATAAAGAGCTCTTTAAAGAGCTGTACAGCAATGTACATAAACAACGAGTTACTTGAAAATGTTGAATTGTGCAAACGCCCGCTGGCTATATCCATGCATTGGCATTAGGGTCAAGAGCAATAAAGTGGCCAACAGACACACACACACACACACACAAGCACACTGTAATATTACTATTTATCAAGCGCGTTTTAAGAACTCAAAAGCCTAAACGCAAAACAAGTTAGCCGGGCAGCTCAAAGCCAGGGGCAAGTGCAATGGTAATAGCGCGATAGCAGGCTCATCTAAAAGGCAGTCACTAAAAGACTATAACGAACGCTGGAACTTGCCTCAAGAACTGTCTTCAGCTTAGTAGGTGAGCTGCGTCATGAGCAGCGACCTTAGAGGTTTGCCAAACTGAGAAATGTAAATGCTGTGTGTGTGTGTGTGTATCTGTGGAAAAGTGTGTTACTGTAACTGCCTCGCTAGCTTCCTGTTGTGGCATTGAATGGCTCTGGCTGAGGCAACAGCTGAAGGTGAAGTCGAAGTCGAAACTGCCTTCACAAACTGCTGCCACAAAAAAATAATCAGAGACATAAAACACGCGACATTCAGTTTTTTCATGTTTGTTGTTGTTGTTGTTGTTGCTAGTATATTCTAACAATAAAACAAAATAGCTAACAAAAAACACGTTTACACATACTGATGCGCATATAACAAACAAAAATGTTATGCTCTCATAAACATTGCAAACGAATCTAAAGTTCGAGGTTGATAGCGACGAGGAGGTGCCGGCAGCAGCGGCAGCGGCAACGGCGTTGGTGGCCGCTCGAAAAAACGCAAGCGATAAATTTTAGGCACAAAGCGCCGACAGCAATGATGACGACGCTGATGATGACGCCGACGCCGACACCGACGCCAACAACAACAACGACGACGACGACGTCTCAAATAGCAAGCGGCAAACAGCGAGCAGCAAAATTGGAAACCAATGAAAACCTCGACTTTTAAAGCCGTTTCAAAGATACGGCCGCGTTATGAATGCATACCGAAATGGAGGCCAAGCGCAGCCAAAACTAAATAGAAATAGAAAATCTGACAACAACAACGACAACAGTTCTAATGGGGGCTAGGTTTTGGTTTTCGTATGCAGCGAAGCGTTGCATTTTGGGTACAGCGTTGCCAGATCGCTGCCGTCGACTCGTCGCGCATACGCGTCGTATACGTAATTTTTAATTTTAAATTTTTTTTTTTTCGTGTGCGCCAAAACCAAAACGTGTGAATGTTTTCATGTCAAGGTTTATGCAAAGCGCACACAACACGCAAATAGTATACACACTAATACAGCCATGCATTTAGCCCACTCTGTAATTTTTGTTGTTGCAGGTAGACGAATTTTTAATTGACTACACTTTTGGAGCTGCTTTGGCACGGTATGCCATTAGATGCATATAGAAACTAAACAACGCTTTTTGTTTGGCTCTCACAAAAAAAAATGCATATTGCTAAAGTGCTTTGCACAAAAAAAAAAAATGGAAGGGGGACCAGAGACGTCTTATCAGCCCAGAGTCTAAATTATTGAATCTTCTAATTAGCACACTGCATATTAAAGTAGAAAGTACTATGCAGATTATTAATATCATGATTTAAGTATATACAAGTATTCCACTTCCACTTCCACGACTTAATAAAAAATCACGAGTTTTCTGGGAGAAATTGTGAGTGTTCAATAATTATTACAATCCAAAAACATTAAGCGTACTTATGTAGCATTCACAAGGACATAACGTAGATCACACAATAGAGATATATATGTATATACATTTCAATAAATATATACTCCATTTGTTTTAGAGATTTCTGTCATTCCGAATAGATTTGGTGCAAATAAGAGTTATCGTGTTTTGGAATCAAAAAATTAATTGGCAACTATGAAAAGCTAAAGACTTTCTATAAAATATTAAAATATACGATACGGATGTGTATTTCCCGAAACATATCTGATTTACGCTTATGCCATGCACCCATAAGTTAAAAGAATTTGCTAAGTTGTTTGAACCCTACACATTTATATATTCTTGATCAGTATGATGATATAAGTAAATATAACCATGTCTGTCCGTCCGTTAGTCGGTCTGTCTGGTTGGTCCGGCTATTGGTCCAGCTGAGGATCTTAGGTTAGTATGTGCGGTTATTGCTAACGGAATCGATATAGAATTTAAGATGTTGAAAAACAATAAAGTTTAATAGGTGTTCGAATGCTTAAAAGTTGAAAAGTATTATTTAAGCCTGAAAAGAAGAAGAAGAAAGTGTTAAAATTTTAATAATCGAAATGTTAGAAGCACTTGATTAATTTTAGTTTTAAAGTCTGATAAGATCGTAATCATTCTCAATTTATTATGCATAGTATGTTTGTAATATTGGCATTTTCCAAATGTAATTTCCGCATTTCAAGCCTCGTTCTATTGAGAGAGAAAAAATTAATAAAACATCAAAGTAATTTATTAAACACATCAGCAATAACAGCAACTAGTGCTACAGCATCAGTAACAATAATACAAACTGTATAAAATGCCAAACTAAAACGATTTAATTGCGTTTTTAAGCGCTCAAATTAATGTCTGGCATATAAATAAATGCAAATCGAGTATTTAGAATAACGAAAAGTCAACAGCAACAACAACAACAGCAGCGATAATAAAAGCTGCCACTCATTACGTTGTATGCGAAACAAATAACTCAATAAAGAACAACAACTACAGCAACAAAGCTGTGCATAAATAAAATATTAGGCAGCAGCATGCAAAGTGGCGGCAAAAGATTTGCAGCTGCATAACAACAATAATAACAACAACAACAATAACAATAATAATAAAAACAGCAACAATAGCAACAGCAAGTCGGCAACAAAATCTTAACAACGGATAGAAAACGAGATTTCAAGGTAAAGAACGCAATCGAACTTGATGTACTTGAACAAAATTTACTACAACAACAAAAACAACAGCAATTGAATCGATGCCGACGGAAAATGCAAAGAAAAAATTGGCAACGTTTTGGCAAAAACTTATTTGAGTTTGAGAGGTTTAAGGAGCTCCCCACTCAACGATCTGCACTTTGAGGCTGTCTTGTTGGCTCCACTCTTGAGTGCAATAGATTTCAGCCAATTTGCTTTGGCATTTTTGCTTAAATCATACAATATACATAACTATCTATCTATTGTAATGCCAGATGGAGGAGAAATGATAGCTTGACTCCTTAATAATTCGAATTCTTAATACTGGCCTTAGCAATCAATAAAAGCATTTAAATCGACCGTGTCTTTGACTAGGTTAACTATCTTGAGTCTCTTCTAAATAGGTTGCTGAGCTACTAAAAATATAAGCCTGTAATTCCCAATCACTATTTTGAAATGCAAAATGATTGTCTCCCAAAATGCTAAAAACAATCAACCATATCTCAATATTTGAACACAAATAAAAGCCATTTAGTATTTAATTAAGATATAAATATGTACATATACGTAACAAATTGCAAAAGTATTTTAAAATTCAATAATTCAAAATAAATTATTTTTTCAATGCAATTTATAGATTCTTTCGCAAGAACTTTACTTTTAACGCAACCTTAGCAGCAAGCCAATAATTATCCTACCTGCAGGTCTTTAAAATACGAACAATATTTTAGGACATCCGAGAATTCGATAATACAATAATCAGAAAGCTCCCACACTCCTACTTATGTTAAAATTTATTAACCAATTGTTGAAAGAGCGACTTCCTCCATAATTTTGCAAAAGAGTTGTAGGCGAATCCTTGTGTATTTCAATATAATACTCTTAGCGATGGTAGAGCTATTCATTCAATCATACAAGTAGAATTTTACCTTTAAATAGGATTGTTAATATGTTATTGCGGCTAGAATAAATATCTTCGTAGAGCATAACAATAATCATAATGAATATGAAAATATGTAGCTACTATGTAGCTATGTATATATGTATATTGTTCCTTTTGCGTTCAAACATAAAGTTCATTTCACATAGAATTTGTTCAACATTTGTAGACATCAATCTGGCTTTATCTTTTATCTGGCTTTGATAAACGTTCTAATCCCACTTTCAATCACAGACCCACTTGCACAACAACTCAACTATTCACGATTGCAATGAATGTGTGGCAAAGTCAATCAAAACTGTTCACAACTGCACACAATAACTGCCACAAATCGTCAGTATAACAGGCCATGTTAGTCATTTATTTAAATATAAAATGTATGTGAATTAAAAATGCCAACCGTTATGAAAAACCAAACTGGGCGCTCCCCATTGACAGGCCGGCATTGGTTATTGTTTGTCTCCATTAGCAATTTAATTGAAAATCAGCGCAGACATTAAGAAAACGGAGAACACGATTAGAACAAATTTGTGCTGCAGCTAAAAAGATACAAAGTGCAGACCAGCAGCCTGTTTATAAACGAGGTTTGTTCAATGAGTAATGGGGTTTGAAATCTCTCAAAATGCCAAGAACAACCAGACTGTCAAATACATATGCATCGCATAGGCTCAGATACATACGAGCATAAAATCAAACATTTAAAAGTAAATTAAATTGACACCCCCAACTCATGAACGAAAATTAAAAAAGTGTAGTAACAAAATGAACGAAGAACGCGATCTTGCACCGGAACCACCTGTTGCTGACCAGCCAGTTGAGGTGGCTGTTGTTGTTGTAGCAAATATTGGCGGACCTCCCACCTCAGAGGGAGCACAAGAGCCCGCAACAGCTTCTGAACCTGCAGATATGGAAGAGGGTGAACCTGCAGATTTGGACGCACCTCCACCGTCAAAGAAGCGCAAGCGTTCCAATTCTGATGAAGACGATGGGATGACATGTCCAATATGCTTCGACTCGTGGGAAGTATCCGGCGAGCATCGACTCGTCTCACTTCGCTGTGGCCATCTGTTCGGCGAAAGCTGCTTAAGGCGCTGTCTGACGCAGCGCAGGCGCCGACCAGCTGTGAAGATGTGCCCTGTGTGCAAAACAAAGGCTACTACTCGAGACATTCGCCACATCTACGCCCGCAGTTTGCAAGCTATTGATCGCAGCGAGGTGCATCGCTTGCGCAGCGAGCTAGCTGCGGAAAGGCGTCGTACAGAACACCTATTAACCAATTTAAATGACGAAAAAATGGCCCACATCCAAACCTTGAAAAAATTCAGGAGCTTGGTGAGAGAAAACGAACAACTACGGGCTTGTCTTTCCGGTGGAGGTCTTGGTGAGGCAGCAGCCAGCCTGAGCGGACCGCTTGACCACGACCCGGGCCACCCAGCTGGGTGATGAGTCGAATGAGGTGGTCTACGTTATTTGTCTGTGCCTGTGAGTACGCTAAATGGTTCCTATCTGGCTGCTTTGACGGACAACAAATGCCGGATCCACAAACTTAACTTTTCAGGGGGTAAATAAGTTAACAAAATTTCAGTGAAAATCTGCGTGAGTAATTTTTTGTTGTAATAATAAGAGACTAGACTGTAGTAAGTTGATAAAATTATTCGTTAGAATGTAAAACTGTTTGGCATTTGAGTTCACCGGTAATTAAATAAAAAGATCTTGCAAATACGACATTTTCCATATAAATATATTTCTATCGCTTTACACTTCGAACAATATGCTCTATTTAACAGCGAGATTTTTGGTTTCTAAAGCTTTTTGTGAATATACTGATCATGCCTCACAATTATAGACAGAACTCTACATACATGTATAATTTGCAAACTTTTATACAATGTGAATATATAGTTTTGTTCGTTAGTATACTGCTGTATATTGTATAACAGTGCCAAGATCTTGCCTACACCCATGAATGTACTTCTCGTTAAACAAAAGAATAGTTGCTTAAAATGATGAATGAAATATGTTAATAATTTGAACACAAATAAAACGAATGTGGCAAATTCCTATATATGAAAAGTATTTTCTAATTCATTTCCTTTTTTTTTTTGTCTTTTAAGTGATAAAATTATTATTTTCTATGCCATTTATGTGCATCTCTTATAATTTGTAACAATGGTGATTAATATTTCAATTATTTGTTTGAAGCAAGCTCACACACTCAACCAATGCGTCACAGACTTAATAAGCTGCCCTCGTACAAATAATGAATACGTTTGTAAATAAGTACTACATACTTGTATATACAGAATATGTGAAAATCAGTGAACTCTCACACTGGCAAGAAGAAACAAATCAGGGCCCAACACTGAGCCCAAAACACAAGCACAAGTCAATTTTTTTCCACTAGTTCCATCAATGGCCAGCTGCCCAGGCAATAATTATGGCTGCTGTAGGTGCTACTACACAAAACGCTCCCAGAGCACAACAACAACAATACCAACCAACTATGATGACGAAGATGATGATGATTATGATGATGATGGCTAGTAAACGGGAAAAACATTATGTGTGTGCTGCTTTGCTTCTGCTGCACTCAACGGAAGGCACACTATTATCATTTTAAAAGATATGAGGCATGGAAGCGCTGAAAACTTTAGCAACAGCAACAGCAACTGCAACAGCCACAGCAACAGCAACAACGTGTTAGGGTAAGGGTAAGGCAGGGCCATGGACACACGGGGCAACTCCTCAACATTTAGCTGGAGGGAATTTTGTGTTGCAGATTGCGCTCGACGCTTGCCAGCGCACATTACAGGCCAGTGGGGTAGTGGTGTGGAGGGTGGAGCATGCAACATGGAGCATGGAGCATGGGGGGCTGCTGTGCGGTAAAAGTTTTGCATGCACACCTGTTGCGAAAATTTTGCATGCAACTGGTTGCAACTATGAAACATTTTGCCGGGCACTGACTTGCTGATATGGTAGTGTTGTTATTGTTGCTGTGACTGCTGCTACTAAAGATGATGATGATGTTATTGGTGATGATGAGGATGATGGGCAGAAGCAGCAATTGAGAAGCTTATGGAAATTTCAAGACTTAGCGGCTGGGGTTAAAGTTGAGACTGTGCTGCAAAATTGTACAATGTTGTTGTTGTTGTCTAACGCAATATTGAAAAGTCAATTAAAGTGACATTAAATAGCGGAGCAAATCACTCAGAGCTTCAACCCCAAACATTTTGCGCTCAAGGTAGGACTTTGTAAAAAATGTGCCACGCATACATGCTAAGCTAAAAAGCAGAAACCTTGCCCCTGCAGCATATTCCACTCCACTCCACTCAGCAAGAAGGCAACTCAACACTTTGAGCGTTTCTTGTGGCAGAAATCCACCACAGCAGCCACTTGAGCACACTCGCGAGTGTGGCTGACGTCCCTTGCAATTTTAAAAGAACAACAACAACGAGTAGATGAGCGAAGAAACGCTCAGTTCTTTTGAATGGACGACGCTCTTTGAGCTCAAAGCGAAAACCCGAATTCATGAGCCGTTTCGTCACTCGCTTCAGATTTTTTTACGCTGCAGAACTGACGTCGGAATGCTTTTTTAAAAAGGCAATGCAATATACTTATTTGTGTACTTTTATGAATATTAAGCGAATAAAAACAAAACCCAACTTTTTTTGTGCAACACTAAAAATAAAATATGTTGATCCTATAGCCCACATACTACCATAACTGGACTCAAGCACATGATTGCCATATTTATGTAAGATAAGAAGGCAACGGCGACAAGATTAACCACAAGTTTCTAACAGCAAACGCAGCCAAAGGGAACAAGTTTTCAAAAACGCTCGCAAAACAAAATATACAGAAGAAAAAGGCAAACCCGAATTCAACCCTTGCCGAAAAATTTGAAAAATAAATCTCTGAAAAAAAGCTGCATACAACAAACAATGCAGCCAGCAAACACACAGACACCCAGACTTAAGACGAACAACAACAACAACAGCAACAATAACGTGCAATATCAAAAGGCGGTGAGTAGCTTTGGCAACAAAGGGGTATATGCAAAAAATGCATGAAAAAATTCAAAAAACACAAAAACAAAAAACAAAAGCAGTTTAAAACGACAAAAATGCATCGCAAAATACGAGCGTGCAGAGATGCAACGGAAATAAGTACCGGAGAGCAGAACGAGGGGCAGAGAAAGGCTGCTGCATCTTGAAGATGCAATTTCCATTGAACTGCATTTGGGGTTGCCGAGCCCTGCCCTGCCCGGCCCTACCCGGCCCTGCCCTGTCTTGGCTTCTTCTGCCTTCCTTGGCTTGCCTTGTCTTGGGTTGCCTTGGGTTGCCTTTCGCTTGATAATAATTTTTGTTTTGTGCCTCTGACATTTGATATTCAGTCTACAGAGCAGGGAGACCGAGAGCAATAACAACAACTAAGTACATCCTGCTACTGATAACTTCAATTTTTTTTCTTGCACCAAATGACAGCGTGAATGGCCCGCCTAAGTTAGTCGCTGTTCGCTTCCGTTCTCAGCATCCGAACAGAATTTACGGTTTTGGTCTAATTCGCAATGCTGCTCTTGGCAAGGAAGTCAACTGATTTGAAATGTAGCCAACTACAAGAGCTATGTACATACATACATATGTATGCTAGCTATACACACAAATGCATTTATGTAGGTACCTACAAAGAGTACAGGAATCAAACAGGAAGCTGTACAACTGGCTGCCAAGTTGGCGGCCAACTCATTAAAGCAGTTTGCTGGGAAGTGGGACAAATCGGATGCGCAATACTAATATTCCTTACAAATTAAATGAAACGTAAAATATGGATGCAGACAGTGCACCCCAAACAGAACCATTAATTGAACAGCGACAAAATACGTGCCCCAAGCAAAAATGAAAGACGAAAGATTTCAAGAAGTATACGAGTATGTTTTACTCAATTACTGATTTGAAAGATTTGAAAATAATTAAAAAAGTAAGTTTTTTGAAACTTTTTTTGTGCAGAAATTAGAATTGTAGAATTCCATTTTTAATATTTTCTGTATAGTAATTGATTTAAGTGAATCTTAATGAAGCTTTTCCTAAAATCAAACATAAATTTCTCCAAATATAATTGCGGGTTCCCCTTAGTCAGTTTTAAAACATATTTTATAGAAAAATCAAGTTTAGTTCTAAATATTTTAATTAAATGTGTCATATCCTCCTGATTAATTTAACATATTAATTATGTAATTGACATATTTCAATCACCTCCTGCAAGAAGGCTTCATGTTCTTGGCAATAATGGTACAGCCATAGTGCGACTAACTCAATTGATTTAAAAACATATTAGTTACAGATATTTGGAACAGTGAATGTTCGCAACAGAAAGACAAAAAATCGTTGGACTGGGGTTTCCTTTCATAATTCATTAAAATACAGTTGACACCTAATCTCATCCAAATAATTGTTCTGTTTAGTGCAATATAGGAGGCTGTATGTATGTACTATGTGCGTGTATATCTATGTGTTTTGTTAAGTATTACAAAGCCAAACAGGCGACAGTTGTCATCAGCAGCTTAAAAATCGCGTGAAATTACTTTTTTCCTTCTATATAGCACGTTCACGTAATGCGTGCGATAGAGCCCGGGGCTAAGGCAACATGGTAGACCTATTTTAACCCCAACAACGAAGCGTCAACAACAATATACGAGTATGAAAGCCGCAGTAGCAGAAATAAATGCGACCAGTTTATCTATGGGTGTGTGTCTGTGTGTGTGTATTTGTCGTGTTGTACAACAAAGTGCGTAGAGCCTCAAATGCCTGGAAGCAAAAATTTTTATTAAAAAATAATCATCGCACAAAATGCGCATTTGCAGGCTGACTGGCAACCGTTTTTGTTTTTAATTTCCTTTTATTTTTTATTTTGTCATAATTCTGCGACTACTCATCCTATTTTTTATGTACTCGTATATATGTATAGCATTTTATATTCACATTGTTCGCGTTTTGTTACATTTTGCAGTCATATTAATATTTATGCAATGAATAAACAAAGTTTTAATTTGCACCAAATGAGCCAAAGTTGATTGTGTTGGCAATGCTTTGTTGCATACTTTGCGGCGCTTGCAATTGTCATTGCAGCACAAATAAAATCGCGCATGTACGTATAGTATGTCAACATTTTGCGACGCTTTGTAATGCCACTAATTCCAAAAATATAAAGCTTGATCCATTGAATCGGAAGCAAGGAGTTTGCAGCCATGTGGTAGCTTTGTTTGCTCATCTCGATGACAGTTCAGTTGATTATGGCCTAATTAGTAGCACAATGTGAGGAAGAGCTGTGTGCCTATCCATACAACAAAAGGATAATGTAAAATGGCGTTTAGGTGCATACACTGTACAATATATTTTTGGTAATATTCCTTATTGCTTACTGTCTAAGCAGCTGGAAAGCTATTAGCGGTATATATTAAAAATACTATATATATATTATATAAAATTTCTGAACGCTTCTACAATTTAAAAGAACACTCATTTTCACAGTTTTTATTTTGAATTTTAACTTTTTTATTTGCAAACCTTATTCTAACATAACCAGTACCAGATTATTTTCAAGTTATTACGCTCGTCATTACATATTTATTTCCAATTTAAATCAATTTTGTTTTATTTGACAATGAAAATTACCATTATTAATTTTTGTTTCTTTTGTTTTTTATAATATTTTCCTTAGTTTTAATT